GGTACGATCGAGGTGGAATTTGGTGGCAGGGGGCACCGCACACGGCTAAGGAACGATCTCAAGGATCAAGTTGTGTTTATATGGGGTGCCCCTGCCCCCGTATATAAAGGCCAGGGGCAAGGGGGTCGGCCGGCTAGGAGGGAGGCGCAGGGAGGAGTCCCACTCCTACCGGGAGTAGGACTCCTCCCCCCAAATCCTATTCCTAGTAGGACTCTTCGGGAGAAAGAGAAGAGAGGGGGGGCCGGCCCCTTCTCCTAGTCCTAATAGGACTAGGGAAGGGGGGTTCGGCCGGCTAGCTTGTGGGCTGCCCCTTCTCTCTTTTCCACTAAGGCCCAATAGGCCCATTTGCCTCCCGGGGGGTTCCGGTAACCCTCCCGGTAATCCCGTAAAATCCCGATTTCACCCGGAACACTTCCGGTGCCCAAACATAGGCTTCCAATATATCAATCTTTACGTCTCGGCCATTTCGAGACTCCTCGTCATGTCCGTGATCTCATCCGGGACTCCGAACAACCTTCGGTACATCAAAATGCATAAACTCATAATAACTGTCATCGTAACGTTAAGCGTGCGGACCCTACGGTTCGAGAACAATGTAGACATGACCGAGACACGTCTCCGGTCAATAACCAATAGCGGGACCTGGATGCCCATATTGGCTCCTACATATTCTACGAAGATCTTTATCGGTCAGACCGCATAACAACATACGTTGTTCCCTTTGTCATCGGTATGTTACTTGCCCGAGATTCGATCGTCGGTATCCAATACCTAGTTCAATCTCGTTACCGGCAAGTCTCTTTACTCGTTCCGTAATACATCATCTCACAACTAACTTATTAGTTGCAGTGCTTGCAAGGCTTATGTGATGTGCATTACCGAGAGGGCCCAGAGATACCTCTCCGACAATCGGAGTGACAAACCCTAATCTCGAAATACGCCAACCCAACATCTACCATTGGAGACACCTGTAGTACTCCTTTATAATCACCCAGTTACGTTGTGACGTTTGGTAGTACCCAAAGTGTTCCTCCGGTAAACGGGAGTTGCATAATCTCATAGTTATAGGAACATGTATAAGTCATGAAGAAAGCAATAGCAACATACTAAACGATCGGGTGCTAAGCTAATGGAATAGGTCATGTCAATCAGATCATTCTACTAATGATGTGACCTCGTTAATCAAATAACAACCCCTTGTTCATGGTTAGGAAACATAACCATCTTTGATTAACGAGCTAGTCAAGTAGAGGCATACTAGTGACACTCTGTTGGTCTATGTATTCACACATGTATTATGTTTCCGGTTAATACAATTCTAGCATGAATAATAAACATTTATCATGATGTAAGGAAATAAATAATAACTTTATTATTGCCTCTAGGGCATATTTCCTTCACTGACCGATAAAGATCTTCGTAGAATATGTAGGAGCCAATATGGGCATCCAGGTCCTGCTATTGGTTATTGACCGGAGACGTGTCTCGGTCATGTCTACATTGTTCTCGAACCGTAGGGTCCGCACGCTTAACGTTACGATGACAGTTATTATGAGTTTATGCATTTTGATGTACCGAAGGTTGTTCGGAGTCCCGGATGTGATCACGGACATAACGAGGAGTCTCGAAATGGTCGAGACATAAAGATTGATATATTGGAAGCCTATGTTTGGACACCGAAAGTGTTCCGGGTGAAATCGGGATTTTACCGGAATACCGGGAGGGTTACCGGAACCCCCCGGGAGCCAAATGGGCCTACATGGGCCTTAGTGGAAAGGTGAAAGGGGCTGCCATGGAGGGCTGCGCGCCTCCCCCCTCCCCTAGTCCTATTAGGACTAGGAGAGGTGGCCGGCCACCCCTCTCTCTCTTTCCCCCTTGGAGTCCTAGTTGGAATAGGATTGGAGGGGGGAGTCCTACTCCCGGTAGGAGTAGGACTCCTCCTGCGCCTCCCACCTTGGCCGGCCAGCCCCTCCCCTTGGATCCTTTATATACGGAGGCAGGGGGCACCTCTAGACACACAAGTTGATCCTTGAGATCGTTCCTTAGCCGTGTGCGGTGCCCCCTGCCACCAAATTCCACCTCGATCATACCGTTGCAGTGCTTAGGCGAAGCCTTGCGTCGGTAGTACATCAAGATCGTCACCACGCCGTCGTGCTGACGGAACTCTTCCTCGACGCTTTGCTGGATCGGAGCCCGAGGATCGTCATCGAGCTGAACGTGTGCTAAGAACTCGGAGGTGCCGGAGTAACGGTGCTTGGATCGGTCGGATCGGGAAGACGTACGACTACTTCCTCTACGTTGTGTGATTGCTTCCGCAGTCGGTCTGCGTTGGTACGTAGACAACACTCTCCCCTCTCGTTGCTATGCATCACCATGATCTTGCGTGTGCGTAGGAATTTTTTTGAAATTACTACGTTCCCCAACAGACAACGCATTTGCGGACTAATCGTGTGTCATGAGCTTTCCACTCTTTTCTGCTAGGCACAAGACGATTGGGTGTCCCTCGAAGACTGACAAAGACGACGTCGTTTCTACGTTTCCTTTTGGTGGATTTGAGTCGTAGGGAAGCCGTACTATTAAGAGGGGGTCCGCGTTGGAAAGGTTTGGGTGGAATCATCACGTACACGTCTCCTTGCATCCCTCTCTTTCTTCCTTGGAGCTTCGTCCGTTTTCTTTGCCTCAAGTGACTGGTTGTTCTTGTGGTTGCGGTAGTACCGCTCCAGGGGCAACGGTAGTACCGTGGGCACCAACGGTAGTACCGCGCAGGCGCGCGATAGTACCGCTGGTGCTCGCGGTAGTACCGCTTCCCCTGGAGCCATACTACCGCAGCCCACTCGCTAGTGCCGCCCGGGTGCGGTAGTAGGGGCGGATGTAAAATTTTACATCCGCACCTCCGCGGTACTACCGCTTTCGCTGTACGGTAGTACCGCGCTAGGAGGCCAGGCGGTAGTACTGCCCCTCGGCAGTACTACTGTGTCGCGTTTTTGTTACTTCCGTTATTTTGCGGAAGTATGCACGGTAGTACCCTGTCCTCCTATCGGGCTCTTGCCTCGCGGTAGTACCGCGCTGTGGGCGCGGTAGTACCGCACCATCGTGCGGTAGTACCGCCTGACCGCAAGCCGTACTACCGCGTGGCCGTGCGGTAGTACCGCTGACCTTGCGCGGTAGTACCGCTGGCCGCGGGCTGGTTGGTGGGCAACGGTTGGATCTTTTCTCCACACTATATAAAGGGTCTCCTTCTTTCCCATTGACTTACCTCTTCCACCATTAATGCTCCATTATTGCTCCAAGCTCCATTTTCGCCCGATCTCTCTCCCTAGCCAACCAAACTTGTTGATTTGCTTGGGAGAGGTCGAGAAGGCCCTGATCTACACTTCCACCGAGAGATATTTGATTCCCCCTTTCTAATCCCTTGCGGATCTTGTTACTCTTGGGTGTTTGAGCATCCTAGACGGTTGAGGTCACCGCGAAGCCATAGTCCATTGTGGTGAAGCTTCGTGGTGTCGTTGGGAGCCTCCAATTAAGTTGTGGAGATTGCCCCAACCTCGTTTGTAAAGGCTCGGTCGCCGCCTCCAAGGGCATCAATAGTGGAATCACGGCATCTCGCATTGTGTGAGGGCGTGAGGAGATTACGCTGGCCTTAGTAGCTTCTTGGGGAGCATTGTGCCTCCACACCACTCCAACGGAGACGTACTTCCTCTCAAAGGGAAGGAACTTCGGCAACACATCCTCGTCGTCTCCACCGTCTCCACTTTTGGTTATCTCGTGCCTTTACTTGAGTAGCTTATTTGTTTCATATATCTTGCTTGCTTGTGTTCCTACTAGTGTTGCATCATATAGGTTGCTCATCTAGTTGTATATCTAGACAACCTATTTTGATGCAAAGTTTAAATTGCTAAAGAAACGCTAAAAATTGTTAGTTGCCTATTCACCCCCCCCCCCTCTAGTCAACCATATCGATCCTTTCACCCATAAAACCACTTTTACATGGAGTTTTTTTTTCTACGAAGCTCTTGGATACTAAATTTATATGAGGATTGCCGTTTTGGCTCTGGGGTGCATATGATCTCAGATGAATAGTAAATTCAAATAAATACTCCCTCCGTCCCAAAATAAATGTCTCAACTTTGTATTAATTTTAGTACAAAGTTGTATTAAGGTTAAGACACTTATTTTAGGACGCAGGGAGTAGTAAGTAAAATTTAAAAATTCTGATTTTTGTGTGCAGATGTTTTTGTTAGTGTAACAAGCGTGATTGACAATATTCGTGCTAAATGGGATAGTAATGTTTCATTGATGAGACGAATAAAATTAAGTGTAACATTTAGAGGTAATATTTGGCGTTTGATTTGTTTTGTTTTCACAGGTCAAAATGCTTAAACTTTGCCCCTAAAATTTACAGGTAGCATTTCAGTGTGACAATGGACCCATCTTTTTTTTTCTATTCTTTTGGCATTTGCCAAAAAAAAACATTTTTGGTGCGTAAGAACATATGCCCCCAAGAGTCGAATTGGATTTTGGATTTGTATGCGGCATCAATTCTTGTGAAATGTCAATGTATATTCTACAAAAGCTATTGATATAGCTTAGAATGTTTTTTATAAAATAGCTTATGTATTATACATACAAAAAGTTATATGGGGCCTTAGCACGACGACTTCCCAACTGTCTACTGCAATAAATTTTTTCCAGCTCTAGCGAGGGAGAGGCAATAATGGTGGCGCACCTTCGGTTCGCTTATTTCTGTTGTTCGTTGTATTGTGAATAGATCGGAAGTTTTCCTGTCAAAAAATAGTCCTCCATTATACCAGAAATAAATAAATAAATAAGCACAAGTAAGTACGTAGTATCATCTCATCGTTCGAATATTACGTCATCCGTCTACATAATTGTGTACAGTAACGCTCAAGAACATGAAAACAATGGCTACAGACTAGAGAAAGAAAGAGAGGGAGGGAGCCTCTGATGCTTCACGCGCTAACTGAACGGGACCTTGGTCGTCATGCCGGGACGCGCTTGCATCGGCACCAGAAGGCGGTGCCGCCGCCCTTGCCCTGCGCCACGGCGATCTCCTCGTCCACGTAGAACCACAAGAAGAAGGGGTCCTTAGTGCTCGGCTCCCTGCTCGTGTCGCCGCCGCCGAAGGGGATCTCCAGGGAGGGCAGCGGACCGACCTTGACGCGGATCCGCTCGAAGACAAAGGCCAGGATCTTCTTCTTCCACGACAGCCTCCCCTCGAAGGTCAGGCTCCCCACCGGGCCCAGGTACACGCCGTTCTCGATCCTCTGGCCCTGCGGAAGAAGATGGCTTCAGAGTTTCAGTTACAGAAAGACCATCACTCCAGATTCAGAGTTTCAGTTTCAGTCACAGAAGTTCCATTTTTGTGAAGAATCGGATGCCATGGCTGAGATGCGAGAGAAGCATGAGGAGCTCACTCACCGCGGCGTCGAAGCGCTGGACGGCGGTCACCGGGAAGTAGCTGCCTTTCTCGAGCTTACTACCCTGCGAGACATTCAGAAGCGCTGGACCAATCAATCAACCGCCTAATGCAAAACTGGAAATCTGAGGCTGTAAAATGCCGAATTGTGCGCTTGTTGCTCGCCTGGCCGGTGAAGATGAGCATCCACGTCCTGCCCGGCGACTCGGTCCCGCCGAGCGTCTCGAGGAAGGCGGAGGTGTCGAGCTTGGCCTTCTTGATCTTGGCCAGCGCCGCCAGCACCTCCGCGGCCGGCGCCTTCCTCGTCTTGGCCGCCTCCTTGAGCACCTTCACGCACTCCGCCACGGCCTACGCTAAATCAGAATCAAGAAACCATGTCAGGCTACCGGCGAGCACCAGCGAAATCGGGGCCAGTTTTCTTTCCCGATGCGGCTCTGCTTGCCAGGCCATGGGCGATGCTCGCTGCTCACCGATAGGTCGGAGGATTCATCCAGCGGCTGAGGGGACGAAGGCGAGGGCTCCTTCTCCACGTCCGGCGACGCGGCGGCGCCGACGGTCAGCGAGACGCCGCGCGGACGGCGGGGGCTGGAGCGGAGGCCGAGCAGCGGCGGGGCGAGCCCGCGACGCGGTAGGAGCCGCGAGGAGGCTGGGGCGAGCGTGGAAGGGTGGAGCAAGGAGGCGGAGGAGGCCATCTTCTTCCTCTTGCTCTGGCGGTCAGGTTGCTCTGTTCTCCGACGAGGTGCCGAGATGGTGACCACGAGTTTGGAGTCTCTGCCTCTGTGGCTGTGGAGGAACCAGGGCCGTGTGAGCGGAGTGGACACTTGGGGGGCACACGTCGACGAGGCCACCGTAATTCCACGGTTCCAAAACTTTTTTTTTTCCAAATGAATATATACTTTGAATTTCCTCTCGACTGCCTGAATCCCCCCGCTTTGATATCTCTACTCCTAAAGGGGGAGTCTGCGGTTATGATGGTGCGTTGGTACGTTGTCCGTTCGCTTCGTTTGTCTCCCCCACCTGTCCTACAATCTCCTTTCGACTCCACCGATTTTTTTTTCCAAAAGGATCCCACCTCTCGACTGGTTTTTTCATCCTAGAAGAAAACCGGCAGAGAAGAAAACCTAAAGGGGGAGTCTACGGCTGTGATGGTGCATTGGTACGTTATTCGTTCGCTTCGTTGCCTCCCCCACCTGTCCTACAATCTCCCTTTTTAAAAAGATCCCACCTCCCGACTGGTTTTACATCCTAGCAGAAAACCGGCAAAGAAGAAAACCTAAAGGGGGAGTTGCTATTGTGATGGTGCGTGCCACATGGACACGGTTGCTGCGACTTTCTTTGTTTAGATTTTGATGTTTCCTTTCCTGACTCATAAGAAAAACTCATCTTTCAGCAAGAAGCAACTGAAGTTTTAGAATCAATCTGCAGGACTTGGTTTTTCATTTTGGACTTGGGTTTTCGGAGCATGAACTGCTGTAAACTTGGATGTGGTATCTGGTTTCATTAATGATAATGTAACGCGGGGAGGAGGGGGCTTCAGTCTCATGTTCATCTAAAAAACATACATGACTTTTTCACTGACGTCTGGAAAATAAACCTGAATTTGAAGGATCTCGCTGACATTGTATATGACTCCACAGGGTGAATTGCACATGTGATGAGCTTTGTGCCAGAAGAGGTGCTGGAGGATCCGGAATGGCAGGTGCCCGCCTATTGTTTCGCCAAGGACGACGACAGAACGACCAAGAACACCTACATCTATGAACCTAATGGGCATGGCATGATGACGGCAGCTTTATCCCCAAGATCAGAATGCCGATCAGAAGCTAGCCTATCTCGTGGAATCATGACCTTCATTGGTGATGCATTCGACTTGGTGTCTCTCGAGGCTCGATGTGTGTGTGTGTGTGTGTGTGTGTGTGTGTGTGTGTGTGTAACGACGGGATTGTGCTACTGGTAAGTGTTTGTATGGTTATGTCCTCCGTCATTAGCGCTTCACGTGGAGTTTGGTCTGTGTACATTGTATGGCCAGGAATGTGCTGCTGGTAAGTGTCTGTATGGTTATGTCCTCTACCATTAGCGCTTCGCGTGGAGTTCCGTCTGTGTACTCCTACATTGTATGGCAACAATGTAAAGAGATAGTCAGAATCAATTTGCAGGACTTGGTTTTTCATTTTGGACTTGGGTTTTCGGAGCATGAACTGCTGTAAACTTGGATGTGGTATCTGGTTTCATTAATGATAATGTAACGCGGGGAGGAGGGGGCTTCAGTCTCATGTTCATCTAAAAAACATACATGACTTTTTCACTGACGTCTAGAAAATAAACCTGAATTTGAAGGATCTCACTGACATTGTATATGACCCCACAGGGTGGATTGCACATGTGATGAGCTTTGTGCCAGAAGAGGTGCTGGAGGATCCGGAATGGCAGGTGCCCGCCTATTGTTTCGCCAAGGACGACGACAGAACGACCAAGAACACCTACATCTATGAACCTAATGGGCATGGCATGATGACGGCAGCTTTATCCCCAAGATCAGAATGCCGATCAGAAGCTAGCCTATCTCGTGGAATCATGACCTTCATTGGTGATGCATTCGACTTGGTGTCTCTCGAGGCTCGATGTGTGTGTGTGTGTATGTGTGTGTGTGTGTGTGTAACGACGGGATTGTGCTACTGGTAAGTGTTTGTATGGTTATGTCCTCCGTCATTAGCGCTTCACGTGGAGTTTGGTCTGTGTACATTGTATGGCCAGGAATGTGCTGCTGGTAAGTGTCTGTATGGTTATGTCCTCTACCATTAGCGCTTCGCGTGGAGTTCCGTCTGTGTACTCCTACATTGTATGGCAACAATGTAAAGAGATAGTCAGAATCAATTTGCAGGACTTGGTTTTTCATTTTGGACTTGGGTTTTCGGAGCATGAACTGCTGTAAACTTGGATGTGGTATCTGGTTTCATTAATGATAATGTAACGCGGGAAGGAGGGGGCTTCAGTCTCATGTTCATCTAAAAAACATACATGACTTTTTCACTGACGTCTAGAAAATAAACCTGAATTTGAAGGATCTCACTAACATTGTATATGACCCCACAGGGTGGATTGCACATGTGATGAGCTTTGTGCCAGAAGAGGTGCTGGAGGATCCGGAATGGCAGGTGCCCGCCTATTGTTTCGCCAAGGACGACGACAGAACGACCAAGAACACCTACATCTATGAACCTAATGGGCATGGCATGATGACGGCAGCTTTATCCCCAAGATCAGAATGCCGATCAGAAGCTAGCCTATCTCGTGGAATCATGACCTTCATTGGTGATGCATTCGACTTGGTGTCTCTCGAGGCTCGATGTGTGTGTGTGTGTGTGTGTGTAACGACGGGATTGTGCTACTGGTAAGTGTTTGTATGGTTATGTCCTCTGTCATTAGCGCTTCACGTGGAGTTTGGTCTGTGTACATTGTATGGCCATGAATGTGCTGCTGGTAAGTGTCTGTATGGTTATGTCCTCTACCATTAGCGCTTCGCGTGGAGTTCCGTCTTGTACAAGTACATGAAGAATTTTTTTTTTTGAGAACCAATGAGCCTCAGTACTCATGGTTGGTGATTACAATCAAGCAGCCGTAGCTGCTCTAACGACTCGGGTACTTTGCCCAGGAGGATACTATTGCCCCTCTTTTTTGCCTCCGCTGCTAGTTCATGCGCTAGGCTGTTGCTCTTTCTACTTATCACCCGCACACGATGAGAAGTGAACAGCTCAAGGGTATTTTTTATACCAGCAATCAGTGGATACCTTTCTGAACGACACTGCTCACTTGACGGGATTTCCTTGCCCACCACTGCGCAGTCCACCTCCGCGGTAGAACCGCACGAGCTCCTGTAAGCCGGTCAGTAGAGCAGTTGCTTCTGCTACCTCGACCGAAGCACAAACGTCCAGGTCTCTGCATGCTGAAATGAGTACAGCCCCGGCAGCATCACGGACAACTGCGCCAGCCCAAGCCCTGCCTGAATCTTTCAGGAAAGCAGCGTCGGAATTTATTTTTGCCGTTCCCTCGCCTGGTTTCACCCAGTGATGGTGTAACCATAATTACACATGTGTGTAGTGGCGGGGCTTCATGGGGGCCAAAGGGGGCTATTGCCCCCCTCCCCCCTCCCTACTGTAGAAAACCTCATAGTATAACCATAATTATTAGGTCTAGATAATAAAGATTTCACAGGAGCGGCGCTGGTGCGAAGGTGTTGCCCCCCTCCCTACTGTAGGAAACCTTATAGTGTAACCATAATTATTAGGTCTAGATAATAAATCACCCCCTGAGTCTATTTTAGGTGGTTTCTCTAAGTGGTATTGCTTGCAGTCAAAGAAAAACCATTCAATAGCCGCAACTGATCGGGAGAGATCACAATCTATCGAGAACATATCTGCCTCAAATGTGGCGACCCCGCACTCTGCTGCCAACAACTAATTCAGCGCGGCCCATCATGCAGCTCAGACAATGCAGCCAGTGTTCATGTCGTTGTTGAGCACTCCGCCAGCGTTCTTGCAATTTGGCGGCGATACACCTGAACCCGTTACCTCATCTTTGCAGCTCCCGATCGGCGATGGACTTACTCACAAAGCTATATCAGGGCAGCAAGCACCTCTCTGGGTCAAGGCAAGACACAAGTACTCGGTTGATCTATCCTAGATGGAGCACGTATGAATTTGCTGGCTACCTAAGCTAAACATATTGATGAACCACTACGTACTACCTAAGCTAAACAATCTTCATCAAGCTCCGCCACTGCCTGTGTGTTGTGTTGCTCACTATTGCATATATGAAGCTATGGGGTAGGGATTTTCTTATGTCATCCTTCCTTCGTGGAACCCAAACCTAGCTAGCTAGTTGTGCCGGTCGGCTAGTTGAGGGAGTGCGTCGAGAAGGCTCTAGCGAAGAGCCCTTGACATCTCAACTCTGTATCATGCAGTTACATGAGACATTGCTGCTTGTTTGTGTTTGACACCGAGTCTTGGACAGTTGGACTGTTCTACATGGTTGGGGAAAATTGACGAGGGTGGGTTTCTGAATGTGTTCAATCTAGGCACACATTTTCTTGTTGTTTTGGTTTTGTCTATGAATTATGATGATTTACATAGTTGTAGCTTAGAATGTTCACATGTTGAATTGAATAAGTATGATTCTTTTTGAATAAGTAGGAACCAAAACGATTTAGTTAATCTTTTTCTTTCATCAAGTTTTGAACACTCACGATAGCCCTTCAAATATTTAACCACAAATCTGTTTGGCAAACGTTCCATCGTAGTCTTGACAAAACTGAGTTTTTGTTTGTGCAGGGAGATGAAACCAAGTTGTAGCTTGAAAAGTTAACATGATGCATCAAATTAATCGTAGGAATCGAAACAATTTAAGTAGCTCCTTAAAGTATACCGAACAAGGGTTACCTCGCGTTATATTATATACTCCACTACAGCTCCTTAAGTAATCAACAACAAATCCACGTGGCGTGCATTCTTTTTCCAATGTTGAATATTCAAATCCATGTTAGTGCATTGCGATAGTCAAAACATTATCGGTGCACTGCCTTTGGCTTTCATATGTTCATTTCAATGCAAGAAGAAAACCAATATTTGCTTTCAATTTTGAGGAGCATTTTCCCTCTTGACTTGGAGAGGAAAAATATAAAATGTGCATGCGCTTA